GGAAAGTTAATTTAATGGTAAAAATCAAATTTATAAGTACTAGGTTGTTATATTTGGGATAAATTTTAAACTCTATAAATTGTTGTATTTTTTTAGAAGGAGTGAGTAGAATTTTTTTTTTTTGCTTATGTACTCTTAAAAAAATTTGTATTTTTTTGGTATTTGATTTGTAATGTTATTGGGGATAATTATCAACAACTAGCTAGAAGGTTAAACTTGTTTATATAATGGGAATGGATAAGATTATCTCCCTACAAATATGAATAGTATATTATATTTTGTATTAACTCTATATTGGGGTGTTTCTCCATTCCAAGATATATCTCCCTTTTCCAGGTCTATCTTGATGTAGTCACTGACATATATGCTAATTAAGGTCTCGGTTATTTGACGCCATCCGTATCCTAAGCTAAGACTAGGCAATTAGCTACCTATTCTTTATGATTGTGACATGAGATTTGTATACATAAAACCTGATTAATTAGAGCCACTACTTCATGAGAATTGCCTAGAAGCGTAAGCCGTTAATTTTTTTTGTACTTTGGACCTTGATGGATTTCTTATTGGAGGCCAACAGGGGCAAAAAGGAGACACTCATGCCTCTGCATGGGGTGTGCTTTTCAACAGCTTCTTTGAGAAGTTTATGCTCACACTGTATAAAGGGCTTTTGATGTGTAGAAAAGTTGCTACAGATGATCTAGAGAGCACCAAGCATGGAGTAAACATATATTGCTAAAAGAAGATGCTACAATATCTGCATACCAAAAAAAAAAAAAACTAAGTCTGCAAAATGACCATGAGCTGAAAAATACAAGTCCATGATGAAACTTTTAGAATTACTTTTCTCCTTTTCCATAAACCCCATACAAAGAGGGATATATGATTGTATATATGTATGTGCCTATATTATATTAGAACAGAATAGGATCGAGTTGAAATTTGTTATGAATTATTCTCACACATGTTACTTGCTAGTTTGACTTCTGAATTTTTGTCTAACATTTTTTTTGGAAGAAATTAAATGTCTAGCAAATATATGTATGTGTTAGATAATTTTTAAGTGTACCCACATGTATACTTGTACTAGGTGTATTATTGATCAATTCAGATACTTAGCTAGCTGTCCTATCGCTAGTTAGAAGTTTGCATGAGTTGACTTTGGATGAGTCTAATTAGACTTTGATCTCTGGCTAGTTTGTTAGTTTTGGTTGTGCTCATGCCAGAGGCAGCTAGCCCTCTTATTTCCAGCCGCAAATTGAGAGGCTCATTTTTTTTTTTTTAATCTTTTGAAGACTTAAGAGTTAAGACTGATTCATGTGGCTCAGCACCAAATAGTACAACACAGCAGAAGAAGTGTTATTCTGACCCTTTTAGCAACTTAAACTTCTTGATAATCATTTTTGCTCAGTTTTCAAGCATAATCACACAGTGAGATAACATTTCATTAAATTGGTTAATATATTTGCATCTGATATAGATAATTAATAAATATAAAATACTAACATAGCTGTGACACAGCAAAAAGAAATCGCGCCTACAGAATAAGAGTAGTATGACAATTGTACATTCTCAAATATAAGTAATAGTGACAGGAGAATTACATGAGATGTGCTTGCAAGATAATTATTATTTTTACAATGTCGCATCTGAATTTTCGATATGCATTTCGCTCATTATATATAAGAGAAGAACAAGTGCTAGTAAGTGGTCCTACGGCATTTGCTTTCTAATAAGCTGATTAACCAACCTTGCTAGCAAAGTATCACCAAACGTTGGCAGCCATAAAAACGTAACCAGAGAAACAAAATGAAATACAGATTTAATTAAATCGAACTCTAGAAAATTAAGATGGATAAACGGATGGAATGGTTATGCTGGGCCTTTACTGGGCTCACTTATCAACGACATGGGCTTCATCTATATGTCCACTATTCCCTGCTGCAGTATTTCTTTCAAAAGAGAAAGAAAAAAAAAGAAAGAGAAACTGTGATCTGCAGTACATAAGGAAGACAGGGATCAGAGCAATTCAATATAAGTCCATGCAATTCATATGCTTATCACCTTGTAATTAGTTTTTTTAATAATGGTAATGGTTTACATATCTGGCTTCTGCCTACAAGCACACAACCAATGTGTTTTAGAATTGAAAATGAAAGGAAAAAAAAGAGTGATGGGACAAGTTCCCAACTCCTCTAAAAAGATGATTACCAGAATTAAAAGCTCTATAGGTGCTATTCCATCCAAAATGGTACAAAAGACTCTTAGCTACCAATTTCAACAGTGTAGCACCACTGTACATAGTATTCCGCTTCTCCTGTGATAGCATCAAACACTAAGTATAGAACCAACCGGTAGACATTAAGATAACATGTATAGGATTAGCCATTTTTTATTATAAAAACTTTATCATTTCAACATCGCCAAATTAATTAACATAGAGCATTGGTCCCAAATAAACCTTTTCTTCGGTACCTGGGCACCCCCATAAGCGAAAATATAATTAGTTAGTTTTCAAACAGATGATGAATTAAAAATCTAAAATTAATCCCCTTAATAAAAGAAGGGAAGGCAAATGGGACCATGCTATTTTTCCCAGAGTACAGCTAGGAGTACTAGATCACTACTACTGCAAGTGCAAATGCAATTATGCAATGCAACATAAATTAGCTCATGACAGAGAGTGTCATGAATATATATGATCATGCAGGGGAGGGTTGCAAATTGCTATGACTTGGTAATTTGATAGGAGCAGAGCAACTAGAGAGGTCCCACATGGCAGGGAGTAGTGGGCACTGAACATGTTGATATGATACAGCTAGGTAGGGTTCAATGGGCCATACATATACTCTGAAACACAAGTGTGAGATTGAGAATGAGTGAGAGGGTTGGATGTTGATGGAATAAAACCTTGTGGCCCCCAATGATTGAGATGCACTACCATTTGCTCAACCAAACAGATCAGTAAGCAAGGCATGCATCTGCATATAGCAGCTGAACAGCATTATTTTCCCTTCAAAATACGGTTATTATATTAATTACATGTGTACCTAGTCATATGCATAAACTCGACGTCCTGATCAGCTATGTGCTTTCATCTCTGAAGCATGCAGTCTACTCCAGCTTGCAGTTGCAGAAGATCTCAGTGCCATGCTGCTAGCAAGCTACGCCGTGTTTAGTTCCAAAATAATTCTTCAAACTTCCAACTTTTTCATCACATTAAAACTTTTCTACACTCACAAACTTCCAACTTTTCCGTCACATCGTTCCAATTTCAACCAAACTTCCAATTTTAGTGTGAACTAAACACAGCCCTAATTGCAGGGGTCCTGAGCAAATATATGAAATGCAGGAGTGGTGGTGATCTGTGCTGTGTCTCTTGATTGAAGCTGTGGTCCTAGCTAAGATAATCTTCATTCTTCAGCTAGCTGTAGACATGCATGCAGTGGCAAATTTAACTTCCTAGGAAATTACTGAGCAGAACATGCATGCAGTGCCCCTGCTTGATGAGCTTGCATGTATAGTGTTAAGAAAAAAAATGATGACAAATTAATCAAAATGGGTCAGATTCTGAATAAATCTAGAGCTGATGAGCGGTTAGATGTATGGAAGTGCAACACTCTCAGCAAGTTGATCAGCATTACATTGCCCAACCCTTAGAGCCTTGGAAAATTAAATGTGCTTCTATTTTTCATAGGACGAAGTATATATGTTTGTTTGGATGTCCCTGTTCTTTTGTAGAAATAGATGGATTAACGGGCACGTCCATAAAGCTCTTAAATGGCACGGCTTTTTTAAGAGAAAAATGGCACGATTTTTACAACAGAAAAACTTTTTATATGTTAATTTCTTAATTAAAATATTATTTTAAATCTATTTTCAACTTTATAACAATTAATTCATTCATTTATACCCTAAAATGCTGATACTAGACATATATACCAAACATATATACCATCCCTTTTGCATCTCCAAAACTTTGTGTTTCCCGGTATATCAACATCAGTACATACATAGATTTTCCTAGTTAGTTGTATCTCTTGTGATTTAACTTTTAAGTACATATATGTGATGGCATGATTTTGAATGAATTTAAGTATGTGAAAATGCAAATGCAACTACTCCATCTATTTCATGTTACAAATCATTTGACTTTTTTTCTTAGTCTTTAGGTTTGATCAAGTTTATAGAAAAAAATAACATCTACAATACCAAAATAGTTATATTAAATTTAACACTAAATATATTTTGATAATATATATGTTTTGTACTTAAAAATTATTAGCATATTTTTTTACAAATCTAAACTAACTTAAAAAAGTTTGACTTAAAGGCTATGTTCGGCAGTCACGGTTGGAAACTAATCCTTGGTGCACGTAAAATGGAACAGCTCATTAGCATATGATTAATTTAATATTAACTATTTTTTAAAAATAAATTAATATAATTTCTAAAATAATTTTTGTATAGAAAACTTTTATAAAAAATATATCATTTAATAGCTTGAAAAATGTGCGCATAAAAAGAAGAGAGATGAACTGGGAAAGGAGAGGGAATAACTGAGCAAGTACTCTACAACTGAGCGTGTGCAGCCGCAGTAGTGACGGGGGAGATGAAAGTACTCCATCCGTCCCAAAAAGACTTAATTCTTGGATTTCCATATCCAATGTTTGACCGTTCGTCTTATATAATTTTTTTTTATGATTAGTATTTTTATTATTGTTGGATGATAAAACATGAATAATGCATTATGCATGATTTATCTGTTTATTTTTTTTATATATTTTTTAAAATAAGACGGATGGTCAAACGTTAAACACAGAAATATAGGAATTGAGTTTTTTTTAACGGAGGGAGTAGGCAGCATCGCGGCTATTTAGACTGACGGGTGGGCCCAGCCGACTCATTCGTTTCCCCGAAACGTGCACGTGTGTAGTGTGAACCCGTCCTCCCCACCTAACCTAGGCCACCACTGACTCCACTCCCATCTCCATCAAGGCATCTGCCCGAGCCTTCCGCTTCCGACCGTTTATAAACCCCAAGCGCAGCGATCGAGAGCGACCGCTCCGACCGCCGCCGCCGCCGCCGCTCTCAGGTGATCCTCTCCTCTCCTCTCCTCTCCGCTCGTCTCTTCCCCCTCCCGTCACCGCCGCCGCCGCCGCAGGCTAGCTCGATCTAGCTTTCGATCGATCGACCACCAGCCGGCGCACGGCGACGACGTGCGTACGTACGTCGAAGCCACACGCCGCGGGGCGGCGCCGCCGGCCGTACGTCGCAGCGAAGCTAGGCGGGCGTCACGGCTGCTTGCTGCTGTGTCCGATCCCCGCCGCAGTCGATCGATCGATCGCCGGCGGTGAGGTCGTCGTCGTTGCCAGCTGGTGCCACACCGGCCGGGGCGCCATCGATCTGATCGAGACGATCGAAACCCTAGCTAGCTCCATATAGCCGTAGCATCGCCGGATCTGTGGTTGGTTGCCGGGTATACGTTGAGGATGAGTTTTTTTACTTTTTTTTTGTTTTTGATGCAACAAATCAACAAATGGAGGTGCATCGATCTCATTTTTACGATGAGTTGTAGTATATATACATAACTAGTACGGACTATGGAGTAGGCTAGTATATATGGGTGAACTAAGAATTATAGGCGTTATGCGCAAACTAGTTTGATTTCACGCGTGTGCGAGGTTATTTGAAAGGGTGATTTTACTATCCTTGAAAAAAATAAACCCAGGAGATACTGCATTTCATAAATTTGATACCACAAAGTAATAAGTATCTTAAATACTGTAAAATTGATCTATTTGAAATAGAATCGTACCTTTATGTGTCTCTAAAGGTTCATACGAGGGACGGACTACGTAATAGTTGACAGAGAGTAAATTGAAATCTTAGACACCTTAGATATAGAATCATAGATAACGACAAAAAGTTAACGATGCCATCGATTGGGAGTTACGAAAAATATTAATCATCTGACACGTAGCAATCCTGTTAATACAATTTGTATTTGCTATATATATGTTGTAGCTATCATTCTATGCCGCTCTAATAAATATGCTTCCATTCCATCATGATGGACACATATATCTCTCTTTTCTCTCTGATCAACGGTTGGTGGGTGATAACAGGGCATATATGCTGGACCTTTTTGTGGCTTTCAAAAATTATATTCTGCCATTTATTTAACTCAACGTGAAAAATATTTATGCGCGCTGCATGTGAAGGGGAATAATTGATGTGGAATTTAACTCGAGTAATTCAATAATATCTAGGTTTATTTTGGGATGCGATCGGACCCTTATAAGGTGCGATGAGATTCCTATGACGTCTCTTGCGTGGGCCATTGTGAACCTGTTGGTTATGTGGCTAACATATGAGCTAAGTTAGAGGATTCAGTTCTTATAAGGGTAATTTTACCATTCTAGTGTAAAATTCGATATCTCTAGATACTGAGTATCTTGAGGTACCAAAAAAATTTAGTTTAAAATTTAGGTAGCTCAGATACTTTTTTTTAAGAACTATAAAATTTCTCTTCTTATAATATGACCTTTATGCAGCTGATGACTCATGGAGTTAACTGTTCCTTGCAGGTTTAGTAGGGTTTTAAGTTTCGATGGCACCCTCATCCCGTCGAAAATTCCGTCGGAAGAAACCTTCACAAAAGGTCGACTCCATAGGCCTTCAGACACCGCGCTCTTCGGCCTTGGAAAACCAAGAACCCTTGCTGAGTTCTGAATATTCAGGACACAATTCTGCCATACAGAATGTCAGTTCCAGATCACAGACATTGCCTCTTCTCTAGCAATTGCTATGAAAATAGATGATGAGTAGTTTATCACCATCGATGACGCCTCTAATTTGCATCTCATTTTTCATTCTCAGATCCCTGAAGATTTGACCGTCTGGGATGTTGTCAAAGGCGACGTCGCCATTGTTGCCAGCAAAATGAAATCCATGACAGAGCGGCTGCTGGAAGAACTCAAGATCGCGCTCCGGTTGCTCATGGAGGACATCGATGATCAGAGCCATGTAGAGCAACTCGTTCGTCTTCAGAAGCATGTCGAAATCAGGCCTGACCTGACATCGGCAACGCTTCTGACGGCTCACCATGTGCAGTTGGAGATGTTTGTTGCCCTCAAGATGGGGATCCCGGCATATCTGCACGAAAATGTCAGCGTGCCACGGAGCCGTCTCGCGGAGATCTTCGCCTACGAGAGATGCAAGAACATCTCCTGCCAGAGTGTTCTCCCAGCTGAGGAGTGCGACTGCGATGTCTGCTGCTGCAGGAGAGGCTTCTGCAACCTCTGCATGTGTGTGGTCTGCAACGGGTTCGATTTCGATGTCAACACATGCCGCTGGATTGGGTGTGACGGCTGCTCTCACTGGACCCACGCTGGCTGCGCAATTCGTGAGGAGCAGATCAAGACTGTGATTACGGTTGAAGATGGAGTTGCCCACTATGTGACAGTGTTCTTCTGCAAGGCCTGCCATGGGACATCTGAGCTGCTGGGGTGGGTCAGGAATGTGTTCCAGCATTGTGCCAAGATCTGGGGCACGGATGCGTTGGCGCGAGAGCTCGAGTATGTTCAGGAGGTGTTCAGTGTTAGCGAGGATTCGAAAGGGAAGAAATTGTTCGAGAAATGTACTGATCTGATCGAAAGACTGAAGGTTGTTCAAGCTGAATCGATGGGTCCTGAAGTTCTGCTTCAGGCGCTCCAAGGTATGTGTACTAATTTTTGTCTTCTCATCTTATTATTATGCTGATTTACTCAGTGCTTGTGTTTGGTTCTTAGCACTGACTATGTTACGGAATCTATGCTTTACTTTTTCTTTATTTATAGAAGGATCATCACATAATCAGATAGAATTATCCTGATGTGATGGGTAATTGATTTCATTTCTAACTTTTTTTTAGGAGACATTTCCAACTTTTCCAATTGAAAGCAATTGCATATCTTCAATTGTAAGCTGATTGATTGTCCACTGCAGTTTAGTTTTATGCATACTGTTTTACTTGTCAGAACAGCTACAGTTTTGAAGCCAATTTTTTACAAATTAAAAATATGTGGGGCATTGGAATCAACAACAATATGTTTGATGGCTATTTCTCATGATTGAATGAAATTCCAGAAAGTTTATCTTCTAACGTGTCATATGCTTACTGTCATTGATATCTGACATGGAATTAAATTAAATTTGAGCTATTACACACTGACATTTTCCATATTTCCCAGAGATTGAGCTAGATGATGCTCCAGAGATCACTGAAAACGAAAAACAGGTGCAGCAGAACACTGATCCCCATGAAACCTGCAACAATCAACTCTCTGAATATGTCCAAGAAACTGCAATGACGAACAAGAAGGTTCGCCTCTCTGTCGATGCCATCACCGACGGCGAGGTGGAGAAGGCCAAGGAGGCCGAGCAGCAGCTGCAGCCCATGGCGGCGGAGCAGGAGGAGGTCCCGCCACCGCCGGCGAGCAGCAGCGGCGGCGTGGCGGCGCCGACGACGCAGAACGCGATGCTGTGCAAGATACTCGACGCGCTGAGCGGCATGCCGTCGCCGCCGTCGTCCGAGTCCGCCGCCGCGGTGTCCAAGGTGCATGAGCTGCTGCGCGAGGCCCTGAGCATGCCGCGCAGCTCCGGCCGCGCCACCGCCGCCGCCGTCGACGACGACGACGTGGCGCAGAACGGGAGAGACAGAAATGACGGCGACGACCCGCGGCAGATGATGATGCTGAAGGAGATCTATGACATGGTGATCGGCATGACGAAGACGATGACGAAATGATCATCCGACGAACATGTTTGTCACCTCACATGTGTGTGATCAGTGATCCAGATCCATTGCTAGCTCGATCCATCCATCCATCCATGCATGAATGGTAACCAATCTCTCTGCACTCTGCACCGTGAACACAAAAAACATTCAGAATCCATGGTAAAATGGTAAGTGGATCTGTGTAGTGTTTTACCAAATTTACCTGTATGTACTGCAGCCAGGGTTTGAAGTTTCGAAATTAGGATTTCTACTGCATGTGGGCGATAGAACCGAAATTTCAGATTTTTTTCGTACGATTTTTTTAAAAATTTTGACTGATTTTGAATGTATTTGAATAAAATCTGACCAAATTCACAAAAATTTGCAAAAAACTAAAAGTTTGGGGGTGAGATATGAGCATTTCGGTGACCGAAATTTCAAACCTTGACTGCAGCTCATCGATCAGCCAAACACCCAACCTTGTTTTTTTTTAGTATTTTTTTACTGTTTTACTGATATTGCATTAGTTAGTTGTTCAATTGTTGTATTAGAGAGATTTATCCATGTCGAGATAAGGTGAGCTGGATGCATGCACGGGTGCGTGCCCGTGGGCGCTGTCACGGGTGCGCCGTGCGCGCGCTGGCGTGCGCGTGCACGGCCGGTCGATCGCTCGACCGCGACAGATCGCGACGCCGGGAGCGCGCCCGGCGCGCCGCGGCGACGTGGATCTGGTCGGCGGCGTGGCGTGCCAAAGTCGTCGCCGTGAACAAGTCAACGGGGGCATCGTGGAAACGAAGACACAGGAGGAGGAAGAGCACGCCAAGTCAAAACCTGACAGCTCAATCTAATACCTCGTCAGTGCACCATGCCCATGAATCGAGGCCTGTATGCACGAATCTCGAGGGGATTTGGACGGATGGGATCATCCCGGTGCAGGGATCGGGGTCGTGGACTCGGACCACACCTCCCTCCCACGGTTGGTTCACGCGGGAGAAGAGAGAGGGAGAGAGCGCGCGAATTTTTCTATAAAAGCCCCTCTGCTTGTCCCAAATCACCACGCCTCAACAGCTGCTGCTTCAACTCTCTCTCTCTCTCTCTCTTTCTCCGGCGAGATCACCGGCGGCGGCAGGCCACGCGACCCGCGGAGATGGTAAGCGAGCCTGAATCCCTCAACACTTCTCTTGGAGGCGTACTACTGTAGCTCCCTCTCCTGTTGGGTGGAAGGGCGCGGGTACGGATCGGGATCTGGGTGAGGAAAGGGTCTCGCCTTTATCGTCGAGTTGAGGAAAAATTTTGGTACAAAGAGATGCTGGCTTTCGCGGATCCGTGCGGTTGATGTGTTGCTTTCGCCAGATCTGGTGGTTTTTTCGGGTATTCTGTTGATGTTTGATTGCTGGGGTTACAGAATTTGTTGAGATTTGTAGTCGAGATAGGCAGTTTTTTTTTTCTTTTTGTGAATCAGTCTTAAATTGGAGTAGTGATTAGCAAATATTTTCTTTCCATTCTCCAATTGATCCTTCCTTTGTGAAAAATAGAGCAGTAGTTAGTTCTGATTGTTTCTGACAGACATAATTAATACTTAAAATTTAAAATTTATAAGCTTCTATGTTCTTGTATTCTAGTGTCGATATCGATGATTCTCCAGTTAGAAATTATTTTTAGGTTACATAACAGAATAGCTTTCGTACTTGAGTTTGGAGTGGTAATCATTAGGAGCATGGTTAGGCATGTTAGTATCATCAAGGATTGGTCTTAGCCTCTTACGTAGAGCGAGGTAAATTGCATAGGTTCTTTAGCAAAATATGGGTGATCCATGTTTGACTTGTGGTTTTAACAATGTTCACTGGGAAAGTAGGGAGGCATCTACCCATTGAATATGGCTTTTTTACATTTAACAACTAAAATAATCCAAAGAGTCAGTCTGAGTCAGAGTTGACTTGGTCTAGAAAGGAACCGTGTTTCAAAAACCTGTAGTTGCAACTTGTTATCTGATTCATGGTAGGTTTTTATACACTATTTGGGAGTTGAAAGTGCTTCTTGTGGAATATTCTGAATGGTGTCTGAACCGCCGTTGCATGGTTTAGGTTGTGCTTTTAGGAGAGGTGTAGGTCAAGGTTAAGTTTTGCCAACTTTTATGTCTACCTTTTTTTTTGCACTAAGCTGCATTGCAACCAATGTTCTGGTTTCCATTATTTTAATTTTACAACTTTTAGGCATAAATCGGATATAGGAAGAATAGTGAATATTTGATGTTTAAAGTAATGAATAGTAATATCTAAACTGGTAGCTGAGCAGCATTTGGTTCAGTTAGAGCATGATGTGATACAGATTTTGCACTTTTCTGGATTATGACTTGGCATAGTAAGGTCCATTAACTACTTATAAATTCTATAAAAAAGTGATCTTCTCTTTCTTTGATGGACCATGAGTTGGTCTCCAACTTGTTAGTACATGGATCTGCCATTTATTTTACACCTGGCAGATGTAAAGTAGTTAGAAAACTGAGTATGAATATTTGTGTATGCTGAATGGTTGGGTTGTTTTGCACGACCAGACTACTTCAAGGCGCCTTGCTGACAGGAAGACTGCAAAGTTCCAGAAGAATATCACCAAGAGGGGTTCAGTGCCTGAAACTACTGTGAAGAAGGGGAACGACTATCCAGTTGGACCTCTTGTGCTTGGATTCTTCATATTTGTGGTCATTGGATCATGTATGCCTTCCAACCTTATCTTTATCCTCTGTTGATTTTATTTCACTGACACTTGTGCTGTGTTACTTTAGAATGCGCTGATGCATAGCTTATTATTGTCTCTTCTTTTGCTTTCAAAAGATAATGACAAATGAATTCCATCACATTAGCTTTAAGTCTTCATGACAAAGCACTCTTAGGTTTTGAATTGATACTAGAGGAATTAAAATGCTGAGTGTCACTCTGCTACAAATTCATGATAACCTAATGAAATAGAGCTGGCTATGTCACTAGAAATTTAAGACTGCTATTGTGCGTGTTTTATGAGTGATTTGGTGAATTCTTAATTAGTTATTACAACTCAAATTCTAGGTTATTTTTATCTCTGTTGTATACTATACCAACAAATCTAGCTCTTCAGTGCATGCAAGTAGGTCATGTTTTGATCTTCTGTTGTGTAGCCATGCAACTTTCTTGCCTATCTATATGGAACTTACAGTTCGGATGTTCTCTAGGCCACCTTGCTATGTTTCTTCTGCTATTATTGCGCTTTTAACACCATACATTTTTGTGCATCTGCAGCTTTGTTTCAGATAATCAGGACAGCAACTAGCGGCGGGATGGCCTAAAAACAGAGCTGATTCAAGAGATTTGTGATACATTGCATCCAATGCAAGTGGCAGCGGCAGCTAAAATGTTTGGTGTTGTCAGTGTTTTGTATGCATTTACATTTCTGAAGCATCGAGTTGAAGTACAATGTAACAGAATTACCTGTCTTACAATGTTGAATGGATTAGTATAATATTATACCGTTCATCTCCAGTTAACATCTGCTGTTGGAAAAGGTCCCTGCTTGTGCTTGTGAATTTTGTCGGTCTGGAATTATGAATTGCTGGACATGCAGACCTCATCTTGTTATCTTCATGCGAGCAAATTGTATGCAAAGAAGTATGTTGATTCACTGCCATTCTCATCAGCTTAATTGACAGACAAACAAAAGATAACCATAAGCAAGCACCGTCAGCACTAGGCACTATTATATCAAAGAGAGTGATTTGATCGTTTCACCTTGAACTCTATGCTATGGTTAATATTATTTAGTTTGGATAAGAACCAACCAACAGATCTAACACTGCAGTTTACTTGCTCTAAACCTTTGTGAGTATCATGTTCAGTTTCTTCAGAGTATTCTTGCTTTTAACACTATACACTTTTTACTTCTCCGCAGTTCTTTTTATTTCACATAATCAGGCATGGATTAGATATATCTTATTTTCAAGAGATTTTCACATAATATATGTATTAACTGTCATGAAATACTGAATTTCAGCTAATGTCTGAAGAACTGTAAACAGAATTACTAGTCTTACAATGTGATTTGTGAATTTGTCACTCCACATATTTCAGATCAACAAAGAAACATTTGACAAGAGGTTGAAACTTCATCAGCATGAACAAGTGAAGCAACAAAGTCACTTGTGGAGTCCTTGTCAGGAAGGACCCTCATGTTAGGTGGTAATAATCACTGCCATTCTCACCAGGTAGCTAACTGACAAAAAGAAAGCTACTAATCATGCTACCCTCACTGATAATCACTGTCATTCTCATGACTAATCAACTCCACTAAGGCACTAACTCACCACTAATCTTGCAAACTTCGTATCTCACTTGGCTTTGCATGCTTGTCACCATCTTCAGAGCTGTTCATTCTGATCACCTGCTGCCACCTGAAGATTGGAACAAGAACAACATCTGCTTCTTAGTAGTTGTTTCGATCATATTATACGCTGTTAATCTTGGTGATTTTTATTTTGTAGAGAATTTCGTACGACAGAGATCGTTCTGTCCTCATCGGCGGCGGCGGGCGACGCGCCATGGCGAGCGGTGGCGACGACGCGGCAGCGCCGCTCCTCGCCTCGAAGCACGGCGGCGAGCCTCGCCGGAACACGTTCGCGTTCGCCTGCGCCACGCTCGCCTCCATGACCACCATCCTCATGGGCTACAGTACGTCTCCGAGCTTGCTGCTTCGAGTGTCGCGTCGTGGCACGCGATCATGCCGTCGCCGTCGTTGATGTCGTCTTGCTGTTTCTTGTAGATCTCGCGCTGATGAGCGGAGCCGAGCTGTTCATCCGGGAGGACCTGGGGCTCGCCGACGAGCAGGTGGAGGTGCTGTCCGGGTCGATGAACGTGTTCATGCTCGCGTCCATCCTCGCCGCCGGCACGGTGGCGGACGCCGCCGGCCGCCGCGGCACGCTCGTGCTGGCGAACGCGCTGCTCATGGCCGGCGCGCTCGCCATGTCGCTGGGCGGCAGCTACGCGGCGCTCATGGCGGCGCGCTTCGTCACCAGCGTCGGCGTCGGGTTCGCCGTCGTCGTGGCGCCGGTGTACGCCGTCGAGATCTCCCCGGCGTCCTCGCGCGGGGTGCTGTCCTCCCTGCCGGAGATATTCATCAACGCCGGGATCCTCCTCAGCTACGTCTCCAACTACGCCCTCGCCGGCCTCCCGCTGCGCCTCGGCTGGCGCGTCATGTTCGCCGCGGGCGTCGTGCCGCCCGTGTTCCTCGCCGCGGGCGTGCTCGCCATGCCGGAGTCGCCCCGGTGGCTCGCCATGCGCGGGCGCGACGCCGAGGCGCGCGCCGTGCTCGCGCGCACCTCGGATACCCCCGCGGAGGCGGACCTCCGCCTCGAGGAGATCACGCGGGCCGTCGCGGCGCAGGCCGGCGTGGCCGGCGGCGTCTGGAGGCAGCTGCTCGTCCGGCCAACGCCGACGGTGCGGCGGATCATGACCAACGTGCTGTCCCTCCACTTCTTCCAGCAAGCGTCCGGCATCGACGTCATCGTGCTCTACAGCCCGCTGGTGTTCAAGCAGGCCGGCATGGCGTCGAACACCTCCGTGCTGGCCGCCACCGTCGCCGTGGGCGTCGTCAAGACGTGCTCCATCCTCGTCGCCACGCTCCTCTCCGACCGCGTCGGCCGCCGCCCGCTGCTGCTGTGGAGCGCGGCGGGGATGGCCGTGGCGCTGGCCTCGCTGGCGCTGACGCTCTGCGTCGGCGCCGGCGCGCCGTCCCCGGCGCGCGCGGCGGCGGGCGTGGCGTCGGCGGCGGCGTACGTGGCGGCGTTCTCGGTGGGGCTCGGGCCGCTGGCGCCGTCGTACGGCAGCGAGATCATGCCGCTGTGGCTGCGGGCGCAGGGCGCGGGCGTCGGCGTGGCGGTGAACCGGGTGACGTGCGGCGTGCTGAGCATGACGTTCATCTCGGTCGCCGGCGGCATCACCATGGCCGGGTGCTTCTTCGTGTACGCTGGCGCGGCGGTGGCGGCGTGGGTGTTCGTGTACGTGCGGCTGCCGGAGACGAGGGGCCGGAGCTTGGAGGACATGGACGTGCTCTTCACCAAGTGAAGATGGCTTTATTTGGGCGATCTCGGCCGTGTTTCTTTCTTGGCCTAGCGGCCGGTCCGGTGCTAGCCTTTTCCTAGTTCTATGCGTTGGCGCTGTCGATGTGTGGGTAATGATATATTTTTTTTCCTAGTTACGACCTTTCAATTTTTTCTCCCTCTATCAATAGAATTTCGCACTGTCTTATGTGAGTCATTAAAAAAATAAAGATGGCTTTATTTGTGGTATTATTGGTTGTGTTGCTACGATTGTCCGCAGTTCTAACTTGAAAGAGATGAAGAAATCATTTCTAGGCAGTAGAAGGACAAAATGGAAATGTTAAGCTTGGAAATATTAATGTAATAATCTCCATGATGGTAGACTCAGAAGTACTTTCTTGAATGTAGACTCAAAACTCAGAAGTGCACTCAGTTCACCATGAACAATGACAATACCGAAAGATAATAGAACGAAACATACCGAAAGATACTTATTTTTTTTTAATAATAGAACGAAACATTTCAGCCTTTACTCAAGAGTTACAGCTAATTAGTACCGAAAGATACTAGCTAGCTACCTGAAATTAACCGTAATCAATATCAAGATCATTGTCTTTACCATAATTCAAGAGTACACAAATTAACAATGTTACGATGATGTATTGACATGGTTAATTATGGTTCAAGAGTCCCATGTCCTAACTGAATATTAGAATATGTAAACAATGTCTACATGTAGCATTTCTTGGGGATCAGGAGCGGTCCACAGATTAAACTTGAAAGAGTGAATGAGGAGAATAAATCATTTCCATGCATTGCTACCTATACGGGCCCCTTTGAATCGCAGGGTAGAAAAGAACAGAGGAATAGAAAAAATACAAGATTCTGACAGAAATTGAAGTGTAAAACATAGGATTGCAAAACACAGGAAAAACAAATGAATGGTCGTTTGATTGGAGCGCAGGAAAAACATAGGAATCGGATGAGAGAGATAGACAAAGGAAATTTTCTAAGAGGTTGGAGCTCTTACTAAATTTTCTCCAAAATCCACATGCAATGTGCCATTCCATAGGAATTTCATAGGATTTGGAAAGCTTCAATCCTTTGAATCAAAGGGCCAAATAGGAAAATTTCCTATAGGATTTAAATCCTATGAAATTTCTACGTAAATCTTTTGATTCAAAGTGGCACTACATATGGTGCAATTAAAGGGATATTATCCTACATGTCAAGCCATCCATGCAACCTGCCGATCAGTTAAACAGACAGGCCGGCCGGCAAAAGGACACAGAAATTACGCAGGAAGTAATGGAATATTCATCCAATCGACCATCTTCATAAAGCATTCAGGAGTACCAGAAAGTTCACAAATACATACATTCAGTTTCTCATATATAGGTGATACCATCATACTTAAGATAAAAACAAGGATCAATGACGATATACACAACCAGATATGTACCAAAAGATACTTCCTCCATTTCATATCATAAGACTTTCTAGCATTACCCATATTCATATATGAATCTAAACATATATGTGCCTAGATTCATTAGCATCTATATGAATGTGGACAATGCTATAAAGTCTTATAGCCTGAAATTGAAATGGAGGTAGTAATAGCTAAGCTACTTCAAACCGCAATCAACTAATTAACTGATCACCACATTACTCGCAGTACACTACAGTAGTAGGAACTGATCATCACATTACTAGTAGTAGACTGATAGAAGAAATAAGATATGATTCAACCAAATTAAGGTGATCGACTGTAGTTACCACGCATAGTTAATCAGAGTAGTATAGTCATCATCTAACAGATCGATCAGCATAACGGCCGTAGACTTGGTTAATTATAATAGTAGTAGTAATCGTAGTAATCATCCTCTTCACTGGGCGGCAGCTTGAGCGTCCTGATCCTCGCGCACTTGGCAAGCAGCTGGGCGTCGTCGTCGACACACAAATCCCAGCAGCTGCACACATCGAGAAGCTCCAGGCGAGGGCAGCCATCGACGATGGCCGTGAGCTCGTCGTTGCTGACGCCGATGCCCTGGACAGTGAGCCGCCGCAGGTGGCGCAGCTCCGCCACCGCGAGCGCGAGCCGCGGCAGCGGGGGACGGCGATGGCCGCCGCTGCTGAGGACGATCTCCTCTAGGAGAGGGCACTTCCTCGTCAGCTCGGCGAATCCTTCCGTGGACATCCTGGTTTCGTCGGAGCACCAAACGGAAATAACCTTCAGAGAAGGCGACCTGTACTTGCAAAGTTGCAAGTTTGTAAATTAGATGAATACCGCTGCGGGAAATTAAGTTGTATAATATATACAAATAAGATGAAGTATGAATATTAAAACTAAAAAAATTGATACTTATGAATTTTGAGGCCTAAAAATGATTAAAATTACTTGGTGTTATGAGAGAAGAAAAAAAGAGACAATTTGAACCATAGATCTATCATCCAATGGCTAGAAATAATTGGGGTGACGTGGCTTCATGAGAGAAGAGATAAATAGCATTAACTACACTTAGTGGGGATGAACTATATAAGTATATTGGATTAAAAGCATTTTTTTATTAGCATCGATATATATCTCGCCTGTTGTGAGTGGTTCAATTATAAGCTGATCGATTGGCGCAGGCTCATGCTTTGAAATTTCGGCCTCCACCGACTAACACAAATCTCCCCGAAATTTTCGGGTTTTTTCAAATGTGTAAATTTGGTCAAAATTTATTCATATTCAGTCAAAATATGTTAAAAATTTTAAATAATCTTAATCCGAAAAACCCAAAAATCACGAAAATTTTAAATTTCCGGCAACCACCAAATTTTCGGTGGCAACTGAAATTGCAAACCCTAGCGCGCGCAGAGGCCAAAACTTTTTTTTTAAAGAAAAAAACACTTCACGGTGCTAGTATATTACTCCTATATACGGCTAGTACGAGTGATTCGGGATATAAATTAATTTATCTTCCCACTTAAATGGTTTATAATTTAAAACTGTAAAATTATTATGTATTAGCATATAGTGTTCTTTTTTTTAACAGTATATGCTACCGATACATTATACTCCATCCGTCCCAAAATATAGCAACATTATATCACATCAAGTATAAGGTTGTAATATTTTGGGACGAAGTGAGTAATGTACTTATATAGTTATATAGGCTTCTATAAAATTAAAAAAAATACTTACCTGTCTCCAATATACTCGAGCAGCTCATCGCTAACAAAATCCTCCCCCTTGAACACCTCGAGCCGGCCGCCGGAGCGGTCGACGGCGACCTTCGCCATGGCGCACATCAGGTCCCTGTCCTGCCCGAGGTGGAGGCACCGGACCGCGCCGCGCAGCATGTCCACGGCTCGCCACAGCTCGGGCACCCTCGCCGCGTCGAGCCACGAGCGGCACGCGAGGCCCGCGCCGGCGAGGACCTCGACGGCGCCCACCTTGGCGAACACCACCGACAGCACGTCCGCCGGCAGCTCCGACCAGTCCCTCCCCGCCGGCGCCGTCGTCTCCGGCGCCGGCAACGGCGGCAGGAGGAGGACATCCATTGTTGTTATTCGTTGGTGGCTGAAAACAAAAATGGATAGTTAGATATATGCATGTATGTGTTTGCCATTGATTTGATTTGATTTGATGGTCAGATTGGGATGAGAAGTTGGAAACTTGTAGTGTTATAATCCATGCATTACCTTTGCTGATGGTGAAGAAGAACACAGTGCAGTTCTTGCGCTGATGTGAGGACGGCCGGCGAGATTTATAGGAGAGATATGGGGATGGAGATTGATCGTTTTTTTTTTTTCATCTCGGTGCAAATGCAAACCTCGCGTTCTACGCCGGTGGCATTGATGAGGCGCTGGAATTCAGGCGCGAGTGCGATTGGCTAAAGTGAGCGGCAGCTACTAGTAGCAAGCAAGCAACCAACATGCTGTGCGACGCGACAGTGTGCGTATTTACTCCCTCCTTCCATTACTCTTCAGATTATAAGTTATTTAAACTTTAATTAAAGTTAAATTGCTTTAAATTTAATTTGTAAAAAAAAAGTAGTAATAGGGCCTCATCAGCAAGCTAGTATATCCTTAGGGCACCCACAATAGTTATCTATAAGCTCTCTACAAGAGATCCATGTCAGCATATTTTCCTACTTGGAATATATTAAATGAAGAGAGAGAGCAAAGCTATCTACTAACTTAGAGATAGTCTATAGAGAAAAACGAGGCAATGTATGAGAGAGCTATAGATACCCATGTAGACATACTATTGAGGTGGTTTAATATTAATCTAGTCTATTGTTGAGATGTACATGTTTTATAGAGAACACCTTACTTTACCATTGCGGGTGCTCTTAGGCTGATCAGCCAAATAAGCCTTTTTCAATTCAGGCAAATCCATTGCATTGATTGGCTTAATTAGTTAATTGGCTGGACATACAAGGGATCTTCTATTTGTGTGTTTAGTTCACACTAAAATTAGAAGTTTGGTTGAAATTGGAACGATGTGATGGAAAAGTTAGAAGTTTGTTAGTATTGGGATTTTTATTTTTTGTGCATGGCCACTAGAGAGTTCACATAATTAGCCTTCACTGATGATCCAACTTCCTTACGGGTCTCACTCTGTTTGGCTGAAAAGCTTCGGCCCAAGCCTCAGCCAAACAAGCCAGACACAAATATATTATAAAAATATATTTAATTATAGATTTAATAAAATTAATTTGGTATTATAAATATTATATTATATTTGCCTATAATCTTAATCAATCTTATAGTAGTTTGACTTTGATCAAAATGTTTGTTTCTGTGGTTCGCTCATATAATATTAGACTACTTAGGCCCCGTTCTAAAGTGGCGGGTTAATATGATGTTACCATCCAATGCACTATTCACACAGCTACCAACTAAAGTGGCAAGTTAATGTGCTGCTATCTACTCCATCCATTCCAAAAAAAAATTCAATCCTAGGTTTAAATTTGGACGTACATTATGTCTAGATCAACCCAGGATTGGTTTTTTCTGACAGAGGGAGTATTATTTAGACTGCTACCAATTCAGCTCAACGTAGCCAAATCTGCGCATTAGAATGGAGCCTAAAATAAATGTTTGCTTCCAAGTCCAACCCAACTAGTCAGCTTCCTCTTCTTTCATGTTAACAAACAAAGCCCGAATCCCTATCAACCACCTTACTTTCTTTTCCATGGGATTTTTGTTGAGCCCGCAGCTTCCATAATTGAATTGGGCCTCAGCTCATCCCATCAACTGGTTTTTGCTGGTCCAACCAATCCAGTTTAATTAAAAACCGGTTCAATTGATTTTTATTCCTGTTCGATTGCACACACGTTTATTTTAGTTAACCAGATAGGCCAAGGCCATTTTGTAGGTTTTTTAGGTAGGACCATCGGTACGATCCTAATAAGTACTATGAAATTTGTAAGATTCAAATTATATAAGAAAATTTTCATATATGACCATTTGGAACAAAGGATTAATTGTGGCTTTTGGAGGGGGAGAGAGAGAGTGTGTGAGTGAGAAAGGTTAGTGAGACATGTAAAAAAAAATGAATCTATTGAATCTGACAGTGGCTAACTAGAGGATGGCTTATGGGATGCCATTATATAGGGATTCAAAGTTTAGATTTTGGTTGAAATTGAAGATGATGTGAGTGAAAAGTTGTATGTATATGATAGGTTGATGTGATGGAAAAGGACTGAAGTTTGGATCCAAATTTTGGATCTAAACACATCCATTGTTGGTCTTTAAAAAACCAGGACTTGTACCATCCAACTTCTATGCTTGGATCGTCCTACATGAACAACAGATGAACATGCAGCAGGTAGCATCTTTAATCTGCAGCACTCGTGTTAGGTGATAACCAATTGTCATTACACGAGAAAAAAAGCAGAGGACAAAAACAAAAGCTAACCACTGGTTTAGTACACATCTGATGATAATCTCACTAACAAGTGATCGACAAGACAACCAAGTGATTGGCCTTCATGGTCGTCGCCTTGCAAACAGACATATCTCACCTCGACATTGTCCGTGTGGATCTGTTAGCATCATGGAATCGATCTACCTGCATCTCTGATCTGAGATACTTTTTGCTCGTGTAGAGATCGCCGGTTCAAACGTTTTCTTCCGGTAAGTTTGGATGGGTGATTTCCTTCAACTTTACATAAAACATGAGAATTTTGGAATAATTTTTTTTTGGTTGAGTGGAAGATAAGAATTATAGATAGTATTGATGTACATGTGGCCTCAGAAAATAAAAGGTTCTAATGTTTTTTTTTAGACCTTGAAAACTGCTTGGGCTTTGCCTATGTAATGAAATAATACCCTCTTTAGCCAAAAGAACAAGTTGTTTTATATCCCAAAAAACAAGTTGTTTTAAATTATGTGCAATTACACGAGTTAACTTTGAGCATAAATAGGATTTTGGTATATGAAAATGGCAAAAAGAAAAATCGCCAACACGCAAAAGTCTTAGGGGAAGGTGAGAGATATGACACGCAAGAACTTGCTAAACCAGGTGTGACTCCTAAGGGGAAGATGAGAGATGTGAAACTAAGCCAAGCTATGTGCCTAATAACAACCCGATAGGATTGGCCATGGTCTCAACCCATTGCCTTCCTTCTTGCCCAATTCACTCCACCATACTGTTGGCACCTATGATAGAACATTGTCGAAGACGCGGGTGTTCCTTTATTTTCATAAGTGCTAGGCAACATGAGTGCAAGGGAGTCGAAACCTCTTCCTGTCTTGCTTGTGCAGGCGACATCGCGAGGTTTGCCACCAATCTTGGAGCATCAATAAACATAGTTTCCATAGCATTACACTTTTGTAACTATTATTGTTTTGAAAAAATTATACCAAAGAACTATATGCAGCCAAAACTGTATAATCTGACTTTGAAAAATCCAAAAACGGTTTTACTTTTTACCGAAGGAAGCATATACAATTGAAATACTTTCCTTAGAAACATATACTTGAGTAACCTCCATTTTAAATAATCAATAGGTGATATTTATATTCAACATACCTCCAATAATTTTAACCACCATAAAACACCTCAAAACAAACTGGTTGTTCCCCGGGAAATTTTTAGATTTTTTTAAATATTTGTGAATTTGGTAATAATTTATTCAAATTCAATATAAATGTGTTAAATTTTCAAAAAAAATCGTTCGATATTTCGGTGCCACCGAAATTTTCCTGCTTACCGAAATGGAAAACACTGGTTGTCCCAGCAATGGAAGCCTTTAAAAGCCAGCAATTTACACTATAGGGCTGTGTTTGCATCCCCATGTTCCCAACACTTCTCCCTCGTTTTCCGTGTGCACGTTTTTCAAACTACTAAACGATGCGTTTTTTTGTAAAAAGTTTATATACGAAAGTTGCTTTAAAAAATCAAATTAATCCATTTTTTGAAAAAAAAATTAGCTAATACTTAATTAATCACGCGCTAATAGACCGCTCCGTTTCCGTGCGGGAGGGATTAGTTCCCATCGCTGGAATCCGAACACAGCCCAAGTCACAACTCGACCGTGTTCGCCGAGAAACCAAGCCACGGTCACCATGGCGCACGCCGGCGATGCCACGGCGCCGCTCCTCTCCTCGCCGGCCAAGCCCGGCGACGAGCCCCGCCGCAACATGTACGCCTTCGGCTGCGCCACCCTCGCCTCCATGACCACCATCCTCATGGGCTACAGTACGTGTGCAAGTTCTTGAGCACGACGCACGCATCAATGGAGCAAGCTCATCGTGTTTTGTGTGCTTTGCAGATCTCGCGCTGATGAGCGGCGCGCAGCTGTTCGTCCGGGAGGACGTGGGGCTGAGCGACGCGCAGATCGAGGTGCTCGCCGGGTCGATGAACGTGTTCATGCTCGTGTCCATCCTCGCCGCCGGCTGGGCGGCCGACGTGCTCGGCCGCCGCGGCACGCTCGTGCTGGCGAACGCGTACCTCATGGCCGGCGCGCTCGCCATGTCGCTCGGCGCCACCTACGCCGCGCTCATGGCCGCGCGCTTCGTCACCAGCGTCGGCGTCGGCTTCTCCCTCGTCGTCGCGCCCGTGTACAACGCCGAGATCTCGCCGGCCTCCGCCCGCGGCGTCCTCTCCTCGCTGCTCGATGTAACGCTCGCATCATAGCTCTAGTAGTGTTTGATTTGGGTCGCTCTGATCGATGCTCCGCTTGCGTGTGTCAGATGTTCGTCAACGTCGGGATCTTGCTGAGCTACGTGTCGAACTACGCGTTGGCCGGATTGCCGGTGCACGTCGGGTGGCGCGTCATGTACGGCATCGGCGTGCTCCCGCCGGTGTTCCTCGCCGCGGGCGTGCTCGCCATGCCGGAGTCGCCGCGCTGGCTCGCCATGCGCGGTCGCCACGCCGACGCGCGCGCGGTGCTCGTGCGCACCTCCGACTCCGTCGAGGAGGCCGAGCTCCGCCTCGAGGAGATCAAGCGAGCCGTCGAGGCGCCGCAGGAGTCCGCCGGCGTCGGCGTGTGGCGGGAGCTCCTCCTGCGGCCGTCGGCGATGGTCCGGCGGATCGTCACCTGCGTTGTCGGCCTCCACTTCTTCCAGCAAGCGTCCGGCATCGACGCCATCGTGCTGTACAGCCCGCTGGTGTTCAAGAAGGCAGGCATGGCGTCGAACACCTCCGTCCTGGGCGCCACGGTCGCCGTCGGCGTCGTCAAGACGTGCTTCATCCTCGTCGCCACGCTCCTCTCCGACCGCCTCGGCCGCCGCCCGCTCCTGCTCGCCAGCACCGGCGGCGTGGCCGTCACCCTCACCTCGCTCGCCCTCGCCCTCCGCGTCGCGTCGCCGTCCACGGCGAGCGCCGCGGCGTGCGTGGCGTCCGTGATGGCGTTCGTGGCGGCGTTCTCCGTCGGGTTCGGGCCGATGACGGCGACGTACACCGCCGAGATCATGCCGCTGCGGCTGCGCGCGCAGGGCGCGAGCCTCGGCATGGCCGTGAACCGGCTGACGTGCGGCGTGGTGAGCATGACTTTCATCTCGCTCGCCGGCGGGATCACCATGGCCGGGTGCTTCTTCCTCTACGCCGGCGTGGCGGCGGTGGCGTGCGTGTTCGTGTACGTGCGGCTGCCGGAGACGAGGGGGCGGAGCTTGGAGGACATGGACGTGCTCTTCGCCAAGTGATCAACGTACTATTTCATTACTACATTTTTTATGGAAGAGTATGAAGAATTTATTTATTCTTAACTTTGATTTTCTCCATCCAAGAAGGGACGATGTAACATTTAGCAACCAAAATGCATTGGAGGTGTTATCAGTTACTTCGTATAGATGGACAAATGGGCCGCCTGACACGACCTGGCCTGGGCACAACTAGAGCATGGCATGGCCCAACATACTTTTCGTGTCGTTTCGGGCTAGCTCACAGGTTGTACCTGCGACCCAGGCACGACCCGTGTCTTATTGGGCTGTCCATTGTGCTCACCTTGAAATAAGTCTATTTTGCCTCTCTCATTTCTTTGGGCCATGTCTTATATTCCTAGATAAGTCCATTTTGAGTCCCTTACTTATTTAGGTCGTATCTATATGGTTGGAAAAAGTCTCTTTTCCCTCTCTGATTGTTCGGCCGAACTGACCCGTTGTACCGAAGAAGAGGCCCAGGCACAACCTATTGGTCGGGCCGGGCCGACACGGGACCGACAACAGTCAGGCCTTGCTGTGCCTTGGTCGGGCCAAATCTCCATGCTGTGGGCCAGACCGTCGAGCTATGGGCCTTTTGGCCAACTATATAGGTTAGCATTCCGCATCTATAAGAGTCTCAAACACAACCAACCTATATGCATGCGTAAATACATGGGCAACCTTCGTAGTTCACTATAAAATGCCCATCTATTTGTTGGTCACGTAATAATTTCACAAAATCTTAACAATTATTCGATGTCGTGAGTTTGTCGATTTGTCTCCTTCCCTGAGCTAATGCTGGCCCATGGTCATCCTCCTCTTTTGTGGCCAAGGGGCCACAACAAGCCTACTCCTCCGTCCTCCCTCTAAAACCACTTCCTTGACCTAACCCTCTCCAACCATCTTCGCCCCAAGCACCTGGATCTTAGGGTAAAGACAACTCCGGGCTAATCTGACAATCATGGAGTTGATGATAGAGATGGAGAGAAGTATTCTCAAATGCCTAATTTTGGAGTGACATTTAGACTGTGCTAGTTGAAGCTCACCTTTTGCTTGAACATGGCTAGCTGGCCAATTTTTTTGCATAACCAGATGTAACAAGAGAAGATATTTATTTGAGTGTGTTAGGGGGCGTATTTGCGGGTGATGAGTATGGTGTTGTGTGTATGAGTGTGTGCATATGCGTGTGCCGTGTAATCGAAAAAATGTTTATTTAAGAATAGTTATGCAAATCTAATATCGAACACGGAAGAATTTTCCAGTTCATGTAGAAGTCATACTTTTTAAAAAAATTAAAAGTTTATGTGAAAATCATGTAAAATTAATGCATGCCTTTCAAAAGAATCATAAGTGTTTAGCACTCATGTACTTCTAGCTTGAATTATTATTAATTAGTATATATATCACAAATTTTTTCTTTAAGAAAATTCTTTCATTGGTCTTATCACTATTGAAGTATTGATTGAGTAGATTTGGGATTGTACTGTTGACCTGCCTTCGGTGCTTTTGGATCCTATATTCCTACTCCTACAAGAACAAAAGACACAGCATTAGCAGAACATTAATCTTTGCCGGCACAAGTACGAATAGTACTACTGTTTGGTGATAAGATTCACTTGTCATGAGCTCATAGACAAACAAAGGTTAGCCACCCATCAGGCATTCAGGCCATCAGTTGACACCAAAATTCTCAAAATAAAAACAATTACTTACGCCAATATAGAAGGGAAAACCCAACAACTGAGTTAACAGCTTTTAACTCTACATGCCTCACTGATGGGCCAGGCTGCTAATAGTCTCACTTTGGACATCCGTTATGTGGATCATTTGGAGCATGAGCATCCATGCATCCCTAATGATATTCATTATTGTTGTTATTGTAGATAACTTTAGAGGCATGATTAATTATTTTATGATTCAGCGACATGTACCTGTGATGATTGATTAGACAGGTACTCACTTAACAATGTAAGTACTATCTGTCCAAAAAAAACTTAATCTAAGAGGGGTCACAACGAATCCAGTTGATTTTTAGAAAATATAGAGGAACTAGATTTTTCAAGATTATCAGAAAATGTCCTTGGAAAATAAGATTACTGGAAAATGGAAGTGTCATAAACATGTCTGCGTTTTTCTTTTTGTCGAACAGATTACATTTTTGGATTTTATTAACCAAATAACTTGTTGCTCTCAAGTGGAAGATATATTTAACCATCAAAGATGGATGAACTGATTGAACGTTGATGTTTCCGCCATTGCTGCTTTTAATTTGGTAAATGGAGTAAAAATATTTTATTTTACACAACTTCGTGATGGTTAATTAAGATTGTTTTTGGTCAACCATTAAGCTGGACACACTAATGGTTCTCATGGATTGAAATTCCTGATTCCATTTAACAGGAAGAGTTTCCCACCGCATTGCTAGCTGACAGCATGTGATCTGCCTTCCTCACACCTAAGCTCCCCCAGTCTCCAACTCAAATGTATCATTAGGAATTTAGGATTTCCCCTTTGTTTTTATTTTCTTCTGTGTTGGCTGCTAGCCTTCTACGGATTGTTGTGGAATCAGGGAGCCCTATAGCTGTGTGTCTGATGTGTACTCTATTTTGTAATCTTATTGACTTCGAGTGCGGGTTTTGGAATCTGTAACAGGTAGCTTCTGATGTCTAAATTTGCAGAATCTCGCAACTGATTTGTAATAGGAGTTAAGTAGAGTTGAAATTTTGATTTCATTCTTGCTCCCAAAGGTAGAAACTGTGCCATGGAAGATGTGTACCTTTGAGCAAGTGGTCCTTTCTCGCCTTTGGTGAGAAGTGCCTAATTCTAACTATTGTACTTGTACAACAATACAACATATACAATTCAATAAAGTGTAACAATAAAAGATCAGTTGATAAGTTATAGTGAGATTGGGGGATCATAGGAGTATGGTCCTTCACAGTTTGCTTAGCTTTCTGTACATCCTACCTGTTCATTTGACAAGTTGCGCTGTCATTGTTATGAACTGGTTTCAAATCAGTAGATATATTACATATTTTCATCATTATAACTTATAAATCAACCTGGCAACATTTTGCAGTGGTCTTACATGTAAATCCAATGATTGAAAATAGTGGGTCCGCCGTATTTAACGTAAAATCAATGGTTAGATATATATTTTAGTATTATTGGAAATTCATCTAATTTATTTGAGCAACTTATGAGCGTCATTTGGTGATTTAGAAGCGTTTGTAGAAATCATACGTGGTGGTTTGAGAGTGTTTGTAGAAAGTTTAATGGACTTTACTATACAATAGATAGATGATCATGTCAATTAATTACTAATATTGACCAACTTACCAGCCAAATTTTCACCCTATTAATTGTCCGGAGTATTAGATGATAAATAATTGAAAATTGAGTTATATTTGCTACTTCATATTTACTCTCTGATTCCATTGCAAATTATCACCATATCCTTTTTGTCAATCATCATGTCCTCCCGTTGATCCTTAGATTTCTCTCTTGCAACTACTTCGTCAGTTCGTCTCAGTTATTGAATGATGTGCTGGAAATGAGATACGACAGTTATAGCTTGATTTGGTCAAATATGAGCAAAGCTTGCTAAATCATGTTTCCGTTAGGACTGTAGTTGGATTACGGATTCATCATGGTCACGCTAAACAATCACTTATTTCATCCGTTTTATATTGTAGTAAGTTTTTTTATTTTTTTTAAGTCAAACTTCTTAAAAATTTGATTAAATTTATAGAATAGCAACATTTATAGCATTATTTTAGTCTTATTAAATCTAATATTAAATATATTTTAATAGTTTCTTTGTTTATGTTGAAAATATTGTTATATTTTTCTATAAACTTAACTAAAGTTAAAGTTGTTTGACTTTTAAAAAATCAAAGCGACCTATAAATCTTTGATTTTATATGTACTAGAAAAATGACCGTGCCCTGTAACAGGCGAATGCTATTTTAATCTTATTATTGTCATATGGTTTAGCTAGAATGAAATTTACTGTGTTAAATTCGCTTAGATGTATATCTGTTAGAAAATCGTAAGCTGCAATTAGGAATTCGATCGTCCCAAGTTAGAATGCGAGTTTTTTTAATGAGATTTCTTATACGATTCTCCTTTTGTATTTAAAAAAGTGAACGAACTTAAAAACTGACTCAAATACAGAATTGTGTTTCTAAAAGTGAACGAATTTAAAAACCAACTTATACACGGATAACGTACCAAAATACCAGTAAAAATATCTTCAACTTTTATAATAGTAGAGATATACTTCTGCATCATATCATAATGTGATTCATATCTCTGCCTTCCAGTCTACGGCAGTAAAAGTGAATGGAAATTACTTTCCAATAATCGGAGGTTGCCCACCATGATGATGTAGGTCACTGTTGTCAGTATGTCGCCCTGCTTTTAATCCCATTCGCTTCACACCACACACACAGCTTAGCTCTCGCCCAAACCAAACCTCGCCATGGCGAGCGACGGCGACGCCGCCGCGCCGCTCCTCACGCCGTCCGGCGACAACGACGACGAGCCCCGGCGCCGCCGCAACATGTTCGCCTTCGGCTGCGCCACGCTCGCCTCCATGACCACCATCCTCATGGGCTACAGTACGTGCACTCATCGAGTTCTTGGCAACACATCCATGGAGGTAGTTCGATCGTGTTGTGTGTGCTTGCAGATCTCGCGCTGATGAGCGGCGCGCAGCTGTTCGTCCGGGAGGACATGGGGCTGAGCGACGCCGAGATCGAGGTGCTCGCCGGGTCCATGAACGTGTTCATGCTGGCGTCCATCCTCGCCGCCGGCTGGGCGGCGGACACGCTGGGCCGCCGCGGCACGATCGTGCTGGCGAACGCGTTCCTCATGGCCGGCGCGCTCGCCATGTCGCTCGGCGCCACCTACGCCGCGCTCATGGCGGCGCGGTTCGTGACCAGCGTCGGCGTCGGGTTCGCCCGCGTCGTCGCGCCCGTGTACAACGCCGAGATCTCGCCGGCGTCGACTCGCGGCGTCTTGACCTCGTTGCTTGACGTACGTATATATGCGTCCGTCGATCTGGCCATGTAGAATCTGTCGTCGTCCTTCCAGTGTCGAACACCTTGTTAGGCCTCCATTGATCGATCTCGCTCTCGCCTCGTGCAGATGTTCATCAACGTCGGCATCCTGCTCAGCTACGTGTCGAACTACGCCTTCGCCGGCCTGCCGGTGCACCTCGGCTGGCGCGTCATGTTCGCCATCGGAGCGGTCCCGCCCGTGTTCCTCGCCGCGGCCGTGCTCGCCATGCCGGAGTCGCCGCGCTGGCTCGCCATGCGCGGTCGCCACGCCGACGCGCGCGTCGTGCTCGCACGCACCTCCGACTCCGCCGAGGAGGCCGACCTCCGCCTCGAGGAGATCAAGCACGCCGTCGCGGAGCCGCACGATGCGGGCGGCGGCGTGTGGCGGGAGCTGCTCTTCCGGCCGTCGGCCATGGTCCGGCGCATCCTCGCCACCGTCATCGGGTTACAGTTCTTCCAGCAAGCGTCCGGCATCGACGCCATCGTGCTGTACAGCCCGCTGGTGTTCAAGAAGGCAGGCATGGCGTCGAACACCTCCGTCCTGGGCGCCACCATCGCCATCGGCGTCGTCAAGACGTGCTTCATCCTCGTCGCCACGCTCCTCTCCGACCGCCTCGGCCGCCGCCCGCTCCTGCTCGCCAGCACGGGCGGCATGGCCGTCACCCTGACCTCGCTCGCCCTCACGCTCCGCGTCGCGTCGCCGCCGTCCACGGCGAGCTCCGCGGCGTGCGTGGCGTCCGTGGTGGCGTTCGTGGCGGCGTTCTCCGTCGGGCTCGGGCCGACGACGGCGACGTACACGGCGGAGGTGATGCCGCTGCGGCTGCGCGCGCAGGGCACGGGGCTCGGCGTGGCGGTGAACCGGCTGGCATGCGGCGCGGTGACCATGACGTTCATATCGCTCGCCGACGGGATCACCATGGCCGGGTGCTTCTTCCTCTACGCCGGCGTGGCGGCGGCGGCGTGCGTGTTCGTCTACGTGTGGCTGCCGGAGACGAGGGGGAGAAGCTTGGAGAACATGGACATGGTCTTCTCCAAGTGATTGAGCTCTTGCTTTTTGCACCAAAATTTTTTTAGACAAAACTCAATTTGTCTCCAAATGATTTGAGGTCTCATATGAAGCAAACATTATTTCAGCAAATAAAAGAAAAATCCAGGTAGCAGAAGACTCTGAAGAATGATGTATTAGCTTTGCTTTTATTATCTAAAAAAAAATTAGCTTTGCTTTTAGGTAGCAGAAGACTCTGAAGAATGACTCTCACAGTCATATTTGTTTTTTTTTAACTTATAGAAGTTAAATTTAAACTTGTATGTTTATGGAGTGGTATCACATACTAATCTATATTGTCATTTTTTTGAATTTTTTTCATAATTATTTGGATTACATGTAAAGAACGAGAGGATGTCCTCTCGAGGGATTAAAAGAGTTTGCCCATACTGTTCTACTCCCTCCGGTTCCATAATTCTTTACGTTCTAGACAGTGACACAGTTTTCAAAATATATCTTTGACTATGTTTTTTATTATAATATATAATTAATAAATAAATATTTTTTATTATAGTGCTTTAAAGATAAATCTATATATGGTTGTCCTCAACCTTATTTAAAACTAACTTGAGGGAGTAACATTTAGGAACCAAAATATTTTTTTGCCCCCCAAACTTTTAGATATGTGGCCATTGCCTTGTTATCCAAGCAAGAATGGCCTCGAGATTCATGCAAGAAGCGAAAAAAAAAATCAAATCGACCATGTGCAAGTAGGAGTCAAGCTCCAAACCACTTGTATGGAGATTACGTTGCTAGCCAACCAAAAAACAGAGTAGTTTTGACTATAGAATACAAGTTATATAGTAGTAGTTGTAATGTAATTATACTGTTACATTTATTTTTCACCTAAAAACTATCGAATATTATATCGAATATTATATAGCTACTTCCTATGGGACTAGCTGTATCTATGGCATATTTTCCACGAAAAACAGTCAATTGTTTTCTCATAATATATTAGATTCAGTTACACTTTAATTACATTACATTATAATTTCTGAAACTTCCACAACAATATCCATTACTTACATCCATTACTTACGTTGTAATTTTTCTAGTACGCAGTTATTGAAAAATGAGATATTAATAAACCTATTTACTCTCTTCCTCTTTTAATATATAATGTTGTTGACTTGTTTGACGTTTTATCTTATTAAAAAATTATATAATTACCATTTACTTTGTTGTAATTTGTTCTATCATTAAAAAATACTTTAAGTATATTTTTCATATTTGCGTAATTTTTTTGTCAAACATATGTAAAAAATCAATTATGCCATATAAAAGAGAAGTAGCAATCACATTTGGAAATAATTAACCAAAATCAAGTTCACATTTTTAGCATACCACTAAAATCATCTAAGAGCGTTGGCTGGTGCAGGGCCAGAGTACCCTAGCCAGCCATTTGATGTTCTTCAAGCCACCATAGTCCAATATTCACACTTTTGGTTGTTCAGTTTGTCACCACTTTTGACTTTATTAAATTTTACATTATAAAGTTTTAGTAAGATAATAAACTAAACATTTCTCCTCTCATTGACACCCTATAAAAATTGTCATTTCTGACAATTCCCTCTTATAAAAAATACCAAATTTGGGTAAGACTACAAACTAAACAAACCGCATGCTATAGATATTTGTAACGCTAAAATGTGACAAATTTTTGATAAGATTGATTTTGACACTAAACTAGATAAACCCGTGTTTCCTTAGCTATCGCAACCTCCACGATTTTATTAGCTAGCGTGTGTGTGTTCTAGGCTATAAAAAATTTCTGGATCTACTGCTGTATATAATAATTGGGCTAACCATTTTACTGAGATGGGTAAAGTTTGAGGTTTGACATGGAGCACGGTGGTTAAATGAGGCTTCGTCCAGAGTGTGGGAGAACGTCCTTTTATGACTCGTGTAACTCGTGTTAGGTGATACTAATAACTTGTGATGATCTGATTTTCTTATTATTTTTTGAGATATGGAAGAATGGAAAATGATTAATTGTGATCATGAGCTGATGAACGAACAAACAAAGCCTAGTCACTCATCAAATACACCAAATCTTTGGAAACGAAAACAAAAGTTAGGGGGTGTTTAGATCCACGGGTGTAAAGTTTTGGCGTGTCACATCGGATATACGGACACGCATTTAAAGTATTAAACGTAGTCTAATAACAAAACAAATTACAGAATCCGCATGTAAACTGCGAGATGAATTTATTAAGCCTAATTAATCCATCATTAGCAAATATTTATTGTAGCACCACATTATTAGATCATGAAGCAATTAGGATTAAAAGATTCATCTCGCAAATTAGTCGCAATCTGTGTAATTAGTTTTGTTTTTAGCCTATATTTAATATTTCATGTATGTGTTCAAACGTTCGATTTGATAAGGTAAAAATTTTTAGGGTAGGATTTAAACAGGACCGTAAGCTAATATTGATGGGAACCAACCACCGATGTAACTGCTTAGACCCAGTTTAGTTCTCCAAAAACTTTTCGCAAAAACATCACATCGAATCTTTCACACATGTATGGAGCATTAAATATAGATAAAAAGATAAACTAATTGCACAGTTTGCATGTAAATCGCGAGACAAATCTTTTGAGCCTAATTAGTTCATGATTAGCCATAAGTGCTACAGTAACCTACATGTGTTAATGACGGCTTAATTAGGCTCAAAAGATTCGTCTCGCGGTTTCCAGGCGAGTTATGAAATTAGTTTTTTCATTCGTGTCCGAAAACCCCTTCCGACATCTGGTCAAACGTCCGATGTGACACCCAAAAATTTTCATTTCACCAACTAACATGCCCTTATTAACTCTTATACGCCTCAACCTCAGGGATCGGAGATACAAGAGTCTGACGGCTCATCAATCATGCTCATCGTCTTGGTTCCACATAGATACAATAGTTACCTAAAAATATATACTGCATTATTGATACTTGGTTCCACATATCATACGCACATTGTATCTTGTAGTTCGTGCTAGCTGCAGCTGACTATAAATCTGTAGCCCACTGTTCATATATCTAGTCTTTTATCTTCTCGATATATGTTTACAGCTGTTTTATATTCTGCTATTTTACATGCTTGCAATATGCGAATAGCCAAATACAATGTGGACGATCTGTTGCAGCATATGTATGCATCTCTGTTCATCTACTACTATATTTAATATTTATTGTTGTTTGCTGTTGTAGGCAACTTTGGAGACATGATTAATTCTCTGACTCATATATAGACATGTACGTATGACACAGTTAGTACAGCCACTGTTACTAAACAATACTCCCTCCGTCCCAAAAAAAGGACAAACGGTTTCCGTACCCAATTTTTGACCGTCCGTCTTATTTGAAAAAATTAAGAAAAAAAAAAGACAAGTCACGCACAAAGTATTAATCATGTTTTATCATCTAACCACAATAAAAATACGAATTATAAAAAAATTTCATATAAGACGGACAGACAAAGTTGGACACGTAAATCTAGGGTTTGCCTTTTTTTTTAGGACGGAGGGAGTACTATTAATTATCTATGTCTGTAGTTTTTCTTCTTCTTTTTTATTCGTGTGTCCACCGGAGTTTATGTGTGCAAAAACAACACACACAATAAACATTCTCAAATTTAATGTGGTACCAAAGATGTAGTAGTAAGATACACATCTTATTATTGTTTCTAAAAATGGTCCGCCCATGTCGATGCGCCTAATTAATACACTATCTAATTTTGAGGTTATACTAGACCATCTTCAGTCATAGGATCCCCATTTTAAAGCCTGTAAAACTAAGGGTATCTATGTTTATGATCACGGGTAGCATTGAGGTGACCTCTTCTTATGCAATGTGGCGAATTCTAACCCTTGACTGTGGATATGCATGACACTTCTATTTTACCACTACATGTTAGATAAGGGGCAAAATTTGCTAAATTAAACCACACATATGATTTTATATGACATGATTATTTATGTACGGTTAGATGCACCTTTGCACATGTCATGTTACATATGCACCTTTGTACTTGCTCCATCTTATAAAAAATAAATCTAGAATAGGATGTGAAACATACTTTAATACTATAAATCTGGATAAAGAATTTATCGATATTCGTTGTAGTAAAATATATCGTATCTGGTCTTAGTTTTGTTTTTTTAGGGACGGAGGGAGTATATATCACGAATTTTTTTTAGTCTTTTTTATTTTTATTAATAGATCATTCAAAAAGTATTTTCGAAATCTAAATCTTTTGGCCACGCAAGAGGCTGGCGTGGCCAAATAACGCTACCACGCTAACTGCGCGTGGCGTGACAGAGTTATTTGGCCAGGTTTACATCTGTAAATACTTTTTAGAATGGTCTATTAATAAAATTAAAAATAAAAAGTCTAAAAAATAAAAAAAAATCATATATCACCTGCATTCGACACAGTTGCAACATGACCTATGGGAAGTAAATGTGAAATCAATTTAATCCGACACACCTACAACTTGCTCTGAGTGGTTAGTCCAAGACTTAAACCCCATGCTAGCTAGGCTCCAGTATGAAACCTTAAGCAAGCCATGGCGCACGACGGCGCCGCCGCCGCCGCTACGCTCCTCGCATCGTCCGGCGACAACGACGACAAGCCCCGACGCCGCCGCAACATGTACGCCTTCGGCTGCGCCACCCTCGCCTCCATGACCACCATCCTCATGGGCTACAGTACGTGCACTCATCGATGTTCTTGGCAATGGTTAGAGCTTCTTGGCAACACATCCATGGAGGTAGTTCGTGTTGTGTGCTTGCAGATCTCGCGCTGATGAGCGGCGGGCAGCTGTTCGTCCGGGAGGACATGGCGCTGAGAGACGCCGAGATCGAGGTGCTGACGGGTTCGATGAACGTGTTCATGCTCGTGTCTATCCTCGCCGCCGGCTGGGCGGCTGATGTTCTCGGCCGCCGCGGCACGCTCGTGCTGGCGAACGCGTTCCTCATGGCCGGCGCACTCGCCATGTCGCTCGGCGCCACCTACGCCGCACTCATGGCGGCGCGCTTCGTCACCAGCGTCGGCGTCGGGTTCTCCCTCGTCGTCGCGCCCGTTTACAACGCCGAGATTTCGCCGGCGTCCGCCCGCGGCGTCGTGTCCACGCTGTTCGAGATGTTCGTCAACGTTGGGATCCTGCTCGGCTACGTGTCGAACTACGCCCTGTCCGGCCTGCCCGCGTGCACCTCGGCTGGCGCGTCATGTTCGGCGTCGGCGCGGTCCCTCCAGTGCTCCTCGCCGCGGGCGTGCTCGCCATGCCGGAGTCGCCGCGCTGGCTCGCCATGCGCGGTCGCCACGCCGACGCGCGCGCGGTGCTCGTGCGCACCTCCGACTCCGTCGAGGAGGCCGAGCTCCGCCTCGAGGAGATCAAGCACGCCGCCGAGGCGCCACCGCAGGAGGATGGCGGCGGCGTGTGGCGGGAGCTGCTCTTGCGGCCGACGGCGATGGTCCGCCGGATCCTCACGTGCGTGGTCGGCCTACAGTTCTTCCAGCAAGCGTCGGGCGTCAACGTGGTCGTGCTCTACAGCCCGGTGGTGTTCAAGAAGGCCGGCATGGCGTCGAACACCTCCGTCCTGGGCGCCACCGTCGCCGTCGGGGTCGCCAAGACGTGCTCCATCCTCGTCGCCACGCTCTTCTCCGACCGCCTCGGCTGCCGCCCGCTCCTGCTGGCCAGCACGGGCGGCATGGCCGTCACCCTGACCTCGCTCGCCCTCACGCTCCGCGTCGCGCCGCCGTCCGCGGCGAGCGCCGCGGCGTGCGTGGCGTCAGTGGTGGCGTTCGTCGCGGCGTTCTCGGCGGGGCTCGGGCCGATGACGGCGGCGTACACCGCGGAGGTGTTGCCGCTGCGGCTGCGCGCGCAGGGCGCGAGCCTCGGCATCGTCGTGAACCGGCTGACGTGCGGCGTGATGAGCATGACGTTCATCTCGGTCGCCGGCGGGATCACCATGGTCGGGTTCTTCTTCCTCTACGCCGGCGTGGCGGCGGCGGCGTGCGTGTTCGTGCACGCGCGGCTGCCGGAGACGCGAGGGCGAAGCTTGGAGGACATGGACGCGCTGTTCCACAAGTGATCGTGTCGGACGACTCGTTGTGAACACCATTTGATCTCGGTTTGAAATCTCGTTCGAATATTTAACATCAATTCGTTTGGAAACAACAACACTCGCATGACCGATTTGAACATAATCGTGAATATTGTTATGTATATGGGCCGTATGAGTCAGGCCTTTACCGGGCCGCGTTGCAGCCGAGTGGCCTAAATTGTGGCCTTGTGTGGGATTCGAACCCAAATACGCATCGAATTCTGGACTTCTATTGGATACTCTGATGCGGAAACGCAAAAATCAAAACGAAACCCGATGTTTTTTTTTTCTCTTGAACAAAGCACGAATTCAACCGACTTAAACTCAAAACACGACTTCGCGACGGTTGCAGACGCCGCCACCGCCACCGCCTCCAAAAACCGACGTGGCTCTCACCCGAGTCCCGGGCCCCACACGTCAGTGTCCTTTCTCTATATAAACCGACCCGTTCCCCTCGCGTGCTCTCCCACCTCGCGCCCGCCGCCTCCACCGCTCGAGCCACCGAACCCTAGAAATCCCGCCGCCGCCGCCCGCCCACTCCGTCGCGCCGATGGCGGAGCACGAGGAGCAGCCCTACGAGGGCAACGGGAACGGCGGCGACCCGGCCCCCGCCTCCGCGTACGCTGAGTACCCTGCGCCCGAGGGGTCCCCGCCCGCCGCCGCCGCCAAGCCCACCGGCTTCTCCGATGGCGCCACCGACGGCGGCCGTTCTCAGGTGCGCGCGTCGCGGATCTGTAGGGGGGGAATTTGGCCCATGTTTTGGGATGGGGGGCGGTTTGGTTTTGGGATTGTTTCATGGGTTGGGTGCAAGGGGATTTCATCTGGTTGCCTGAGATTTAGGGATTTAGGTGGTTTACTTTGCTTGCAATGTTATGCTCTCCAAATCGATGGAACTATTAGGTTGTTAGGTTGATTGTAATTGCTTTGTGCTGTTTTAATTTCCTCTGGAGACCACGATTCAAATAAAACATAGAACTAGGAAATTTTTAGGCGATTTTCGGATTAGATCTGTTTGAATTTAATTGTTGTGCAAATTTCAACATTCACCTTATGCTGATTGTATCACCTTGGACTCTTAGAGAGTAGTTTCTGGTCGTTGACAGCTTATTGGGGCTAAACAATAATTGAATCTTCTCTTTTGAAGATAAGAGGACTGACTGATAACTCTTGTTCTTTTATTCAGCACGAGACACAGCCACATGATGGCAGGTCCTCAAAGTCTAGAGAGAGGGAAAGAGAACGGGACAAGGACAAGGAACGCGACAGAGACCGTGATAGAGACCGAAGGGACCGCGACCGTGGTGACAAGGACAGGGACCGTGATCGCCACAGGGAGCACCGCGATAGAAGCGAAAGAAGGGAACACCACGATCGTGAACGTTCTGATGACCGTGATCGACGCCGGGGCCATGATTCTGAAAGGTACAGGTTATTTTTCCGTATGTTAATGGATATGCTATGATTCCTCTGCCATTTGTTTGCTTCATGCCACGTTTTATTGTGGGAATCTGATTTACACTTTATTAATGCAGGAGAAGAGACCGTGACAGAGATGGTCACCGCAGGCATCGATCTCGCTCCCGCTCCCCTTCAAAGGGTCGTGATCGCAGATCTAGATCTCGCTCACGCTCTCGATCTAGGTATGTGATTGAATGCCCTTGTATGCTTATTATATGCATTGGTTCCTGATGTTGATGATGGGCCAAGTTTGCCTGTTCTTATTAGCTTACAAAAGTCACATGTTCTTTTGATACCTCTTAAGTCTTAACAGTGATGCAATTTTCAGAATGTTAGTAACTTAGTATTTCTTCTTATCTTCAAAAGATTGACACTCTTAAAACATGCAGTGAACTGTGTTTCTTTTCAATTTTTTTTCAATGGTACATTCATATGTCTTTACTAGTTTACTTAATGTAATCCATTTATGCGCTTGATTTTGTTCTTTGTCATGTACCTTCTTAGGTGGCTTTAATTCTATTTGCTTATGTAATTCTTTTGGTCTAGTTATTAATTTGGCTTTTGTTAAAACAGCAAGCGCGTGAGTGGATTTGACCAGGGACCACAAGCAGCCATTCCTGCGCTTGCTGCTGGAGCAGCCCCAGGTATGTTAGCACCCAATATAATTTGAGAGTTTATTTTGCTCTGCTGAATTTATCTATTTATACTTGAAACTACCACAAATTGCTGTAGCTTTATCATTAACTTGTCTACATCACAAAACATAAGGCTCAAGTAACATTAATGCAAAGACCAAGAAAGAGTTATTAGCACCTCCTTGTTTGGATCGCCCCAATAAATACAATACATGCACCCAATGAGATGAGAGATCTTGAAGATGGATGATTTTAAAAAAATGGTTTTAGGGTAGGGAGAGGTGCTAGTTAATTGCATGCATACGTGCCCTGAATTATGAAGCCTCGGAAAAAAAATTAGTTGCTCCAATATTTTGGGATGGAGGGAGTGACAACCAAGTTTTTTCAACTAGTTGACCTTGTAACTCCTTTGGTCCTTTTTTTATTTTCAGCAATGCTAGCACTTATAAATTACGAACATCTCTAGTTCCCAATGAAGTACATATTCAAAATTTCTATATTTGTTTTGCCTGAGGGTCGAGAAAAGACTATTTACTGGTCTCTTTCTGACACTGCTGTCTTACCACTGGATGCCTTGAAGGCATGGTAATCATTATTTTGTACTTATATAGTTGATATTTCATGTAGAAAATTAATTTTATTTTATCATAACTGGTTTGGAACTAAGTGATTTTCTCTTTTTTTGTTGGTGTTTGTTTGTTTTGTGTGCATATCGGTAGGAAAGCAATCTTGGGCCACTTTGTCCAACTGCTGCAATGGGAGACACTGTAGCTTAATTGTACGAGGAGGAAACAATCTGGTTTGATATCCTGTTCGTCTTCCAATAGCAGCTAGTATTACATTATGTTAGTTTAATAATTGTTAACTTCAGTCCTCACTGGGCAGGCAGATGCCATCCATTCATCTATGTTGAATTTTGAAAAACAGGACCTATATTAGATTATCAGTAGTAGTTGGGTTGTTCTAAATGGTTTTGTTAATGATAGATCACAAGTAAAAACATTGATTATTTTTCTGATGAATTCTTTGCTGGTATTTGCAGGTCAGGTACCTGTTGTGGCCCCTGCTATTTCTGGGATGCTTCCGAACATGTTCAATTTGACTCAAACCCCGGTGAGTATTATGTTGTTTTGAACTTTAGGAATGAACCCCCTGTGAGCTATGATACTTCAGTTATTTGTTATAAAGACACAGTCCTAATTTTCTCTTGTTTTTGTATCAGTTCACTCCGCTTGTTATTCAGCCACAAGCTATGACACAACAGGCTACTCGACATGCTAGGCGTGTTTATGTTGGTGGACTTCCTCCAACTGCTAATGAGCATGTAAGAAATCATCCTCTTTTCTCCACATTTCTCACTTTCTGTGGCTTGTACTTTTGTGTGTTTTATACTGATGTCTGGTCTTCTTTTACAGACTGTTGCTGTATACTTCAATCAAGTTATGGCTGCTGTTGGTGGAAATACAGCTGGTCCAGGTGATGCTGTTCTTAATGTCTACATAAACCATGATAAGAAATTTGCATTTGTGGAGATGAGGTCTGTGGAGGAAGCAAGCAATGCAATGGCCTTGGATGGTATAATGTTTGAGGGAGCACCTGTGAAGGTTAGAAGGCCAACAGACTATAATCCTTCCCTAGCAGCTGCATTGGGTCCAAGCCAGCCAAACCCCAACCTCAATCTTGCTGCTGTTGGCTTAACACCTGGCTCAGCTGGAGGTTTAGAAGGTCCTGACCGCATTTTTGTGGGTGGGCTGCCCTATTACTTCACAGAAGCTCAAGTCAGGGAGTTGCTCGAATCCTTTGGACCTCTGCGTGGTTTTGATCTTGTGAAGGACAGAGAAACTGGAAACTCGAAGGGCTATGCTTTCTGTGTATACCAGGATCTTAATGTCACGGACATTGCCTGTGCTGCTCTTAATGGTATCAAGATGGGAGACAAGACCCTCACTGTTAGGCGAGCTAACCAAGGAGCTTCTCAACCTAGGCCAGAGCAAGAAAGCATGCTCCTGCATGTACAACAACAGGCGCAAATGCAGGTATGTGCTGTGTTCTTAAACACATTATTTTACGGAGCACAAATCAGTTTAAACACTAGCCTTCCAATTTCTGACTGTTGTTTCTTGGACAGAAACTCATGTTCCAAGTTGGAGGGGGAGCACTGCCTACAAAGGTGGTATGCCTGACCCAAGTGGTTTCACCAGATGAACTGAGGGATGATGAGGAGTATGAGGACATCGTGCAAGACATGAGGGAAGAAGGGTGCAGATACGGTAAGCAACAATGAACTCGCACATTCTCGCTTCCTGTGCACCAATCACTCTGATTCAGTTTCATAATTGATTTTTGCCTTTGCTCAGTTACTGAACTAGTTTCCTTTTGTGTGTTTGTCTTTTTGTGTGTCTTTTTTGTAGTCCCACATAGTGCCATTGCAGAGTCTTTTATAGTCCGACCTTATGCAATATTGGCAGTCGGGCATAGCCTACAGAAGACACACAATTCCAATTTTACTTTGCTTTATCAGCTTTATGATTATGATATAATATGATGCCATGCTTTTTTCTATTTGTCTATGTTCTCACTGACGCTTGTTCAGGTAACCTGGTGAAAGTTGTGATCCCGCGACCTGATCCCAGCGGTGCTCCTGTTGCTGGAGTTGGGAGGGTGAGTGCTCCTCTTGCTCTTTTGCCAATTTAATACAAATAATAACATCATGGGTTATGAATTTTGAAACTGTTCTGAAGCATGAGAGTGCATTGCAGGTGTTTTTGGAATTTGCAGATGTAGAGAGCTCGACCAAGGCGAAGAATGGGATGCACGGGAGGAAGTTTGCCAACAACCAGGTGGTGGCTGTCTTCTACCCTGAGGACAAGTTCGCTGAAGGGCAATACGACGGTTGAACATCGAAGTCGCCCTCTTATTGTTTCTAACGCCTATAAGGCGGAATCTATTTACGTTTACCTTAGTTTTGCAATTTTTACATCTAGTTTTTTTTTTCTGTGTTAGTTGAAATTTTATTAGTAGTCCAGAGATTGGTGCAGAATCATGTGTACTTTGGGTATGTTCTTATGGTTCTGACTTGAAAAGCAATAGTGGCTGGTTGTGCCTACGTTCTGTATTTCTGGTCATGAAGCAGGCCATGGCAACATTCGATCGTGCGTGTTGTCAGCCGTGTCTAATTCATTCGGTCGCGACCCGGGCGCCTTGCCAACGTGAAAAGACAAAAAAAAAAAATCCAAATTGGAGAACATTTATGACATATTAGCCCAGGGCTTCCATGCGGGCTTTGTCTGTTTTCTTTTCTCAGGCTTTGGGCCGAACAAACAAAGCCTTACCCGAACCCAACAAAAAATATTTACATACATAAAAAGTTTGTACATAGAAACTTTATGTATAAAACTTAATTTTAGATACATTGAAATTTCTATTGAAATTCTTGCTAAAATTTAATATTTTCCATTGTGTTTTCTTTTTCCACGTGTGGAGCTCAAGCCAAGCTATGTCCCGCATGCAGGGTTTCCCTTACCGGCGGTAACCGCGGTTACCGGGCTTACCGCGGGGGTACGGTAATATAAATACCGCGGTAACCTCCTTAAATTCAAATAAATTTAAAAAATAATTTAAATTTTTGATAAATTTTGCACAGTTTCTCGCAGTTTTTCACGGTTACCGCGGTAACCGCGCGGTAACCGTGCTTACCGCCGGGGCGTGGTAACCCCGGCCCCGGCGGTTTGGGAAACCCTGCCCGCATGTGGCTCCAGGGTTCATGGTTATAATCGGTACATTAAAACCAACAGATACTTAGCAACATACCTTTAATTTGTTCTTAGGCTAAATATTGAAGCACATTTCTAATGCTGCTCAATAACGATGTATTCCTAATGCCGCTCAATCCTACTGTGACATGGCTTACAATTCTTGCGATATGCTGATAGTTTTATGGTAAACTAGGAGATGAGAAGGAAAATATGCAAGCGGGCTAGTAGGAAGAAAAATATGGACACAGAAATAGCATTGACAATCCTGGTTAACTAAGAGCAATTCGATACTAGGAACACTTAAATGCTTGCTTGTAGGACACCACGGACACATATTGATGGCCTGGTGCAATTTCACCGGATCATCTGACTATATGAGAACCAGGAATCAGATGCTCCCAGGATTAATGAGCATTTGCTTTACCTCCAGTGAAGTGTTCTATTCCTCATGCCACACATTCCTATTGCGATGTTCATGCTTTGAGGTTGAACTTGCAAAGAAAGATAGATAAATACACAACTGTGTATACAAGAACCACCATGTTAACAAATGTATTATATATAGTCCAGAGAAGAGTAATAATTGGTACAGTCTAGTAGCTGTGTGATGTTCTCTTACAACTTAATAGCTAAGTACATGGGTGTGTACAAGTTCAGCAGGTTCACGTTCTGCAAAAGAAAAAAAAAAGGGACTGTCTACTCATCATTTGGTAGAAAACCCTCCTAATATCTTGCAAATTTTTGACCATTGGATTGATTTGAGATTCGTGCAAACCCCAACAAACCCTAACCACTTTTCCTTCCCCTCCTCCCAGCCGCCGCAAAAATTGCTCGATCCTCCTCTCGACACCGCACGCATCCTGCGCCGCCGCCGCCGCCGCCCCACCATGCCGCCACCCCGGCTGGCCAAAAGGTGTCAACGGCGCCAGCGAGACCCCCCCCCCCCGACCAGCCCCCTCCCCCTCCCCTTCCCTCTCCCCCTCCCTCTCCTCTCCTTTGCCTCAAGCCGGTGGCGGCGACCTGTCCCGTGCCATCGTCTTCCCCGTCGCTAGCGGCGGGGCGCCACCACCGGCCGTCTCCTCCTACCACTCTTTCCGCTTTGCCCCTGCCGGCTACACCGGCCCGCCACCCGCTCCCGATCCCGCGGCTTCGGCGACGCTGCGCCGCCTCGCCGCCCACCGCCAGGCTGCCACCTCCCATGGCCATCCCTCTAAAGCCGGCGAACTCCCCCCTCTTCCCCCTCCCCTCCCCCCTCCTACCCCCACCCCACCCTGGGACCCTAATTCGTTGGCCCTCTGCCGGAGTTTGGGTTCGCCAATGCCAGAGAAGAAGAGGTGGTCGCCGGAGTTGAAGAAGAAGAGAACGAATCGTGAAGCACATCCAATGATCCGAAATTTACAAGATTTGAGGTTGTATTTTCTGCTGACAGAAGTTTAGCAATTCCAAAAAAAAAATCATCTCCAATGATTATATGAACACACATCGATGTTCCTCAAATGATCATGCATGACAAATTGACAATAATCTATATACTTTGCTACTCCATGGAAAGGAAGGGAAAACATTGACATTGCAGATATGATGTGTAAGTAATCATAGGAGCCAATAAGTTGATTGATCGTGCGTTCTACTTTTGGTACAACACATCTTTCGGTCATATTGCACAAAATTGATTTGGTTCAACCTGCACATTATGAATTGAAGGACGATCAAGTTCACTGCTATCTCTCCATTTCTATGTATTTGAAAGCTAAGATCCTAGACTTAGTAGCTTCTTCCCTTTGTTGCAGCCGTCCAGTTGTTGACCATTAGTTTTCATATGCTCAACAAGTAGTCACAAAACACAACCGAACGCATTTGCTGAAGAGCAATATGACGGATAAACATGAAAGTTGCAATGCTAATTCTATTTCCTACAAGTTTGCAGTTTACATCGAGTTTTCCATGTTAGTTGGAGCTTTCTTTAGTAGGCCAGAGATTGATGCAGAACTATGTGTCGGATACTCATATGTGTCCTTATGCTTTTGATTTGACTCGAAAAGAAATTGTTCCAGCAAATTGTCCAAACATGTTATTTCTGGTAGAAAATTTCTGAATTTGCCATCGAGTCAGACACACTCACACAGCCATGCAACTCGCTACGATAACCTTGGATTCCGCTGCGAGTCTGATGACAACACTTGATCCATCATCATATCATGGTGAGACATGAGTAGCAGGCCTTTTGAGAGGCTTAGCATATAGCAGATCATATTTCCTTTGTGCCCCTCATGCCCACTAACATTGGCAAACATCAATATAATCGTAGAATCGGGGAAATTATGAACAATGGATCGAGAAGACAAGATATTACAAAGAAATCTAGATGAACTTTCTTGTCATCAAAATATAGACTTGGTAGAGCAAGTAAGAAGGATGGTAGATGCGCGGTGTGTTGTATTGGTGCTAGGAGAGAAGTTAGAGAAAAGAGCCAGCAATCAGGAGGTAGGTGTAGTGTTTTAATTCTACTAGTGAGAAATGCAACAGGGGTAGGTGTAATACATAATTTTGTCCAATTTTTTTTTTCAAATTTTGCTTATTTTGTCTATGGCGATATAATTCTGATAAATCCCGATTACCACTACTCTCATATTCTTTTTTGTCACCTGTAATAAAAACCCTGAGTACATTTCAATAATTCTATTGAGTTGCTGTTTTACATCTCTTAGAAAGATGTACTACTTTCTTTCTTTTTAAGTTTTTTGTCATGAAGAGAGTTACCCAATATTGTAAAAGACATTTTCTATGAGGAGATAATACATTCTTCTCTTTTGGAGGTACCAAATTAATAATGGAAAAGATTTCAGTCATTGACTCATTGACACGACAGAGCTGCTAGTGTTGCCCGGAAAACAGATGAACCATCTCCTCTGATCTGTCCCTTCTGCTCTGGTGAAGCGTTCATGAGGTTCCAGGTTACAGTGGGCTCAGGAGCCAGATGGCACTTAGCAGCAAACCTTTGATTTTTAACTTAGGCTAAACAGTAGAGGGATCGTTGATGATAAGAAGGACATTTGGATCAGTTATGTTGAAGCACTGTATTCCTGATGCCATGCAATCCTACTGAAACATATGGCCTACTTGTTTTATGGTAAACTGGGAGATGAAGGAAAACATAGAACCATATGTAGGAAGAAATATTTCCCTAAAACAATGTAGGAAGAAATATATAGAACATGTTAAGGCTACTGGTAGCCTGAGATGTTTTCATGGTCACACATTAACAATGTTTCATTGGTGGAGCCTAGACAAAGGGATATCGCCTACCAGCCTTCAGCATTTGAAATGATTTCCTGTTTTTTTTTTAGCCTCAAGAGTTTCAATGGTGTTCAATCTCAACAGGGACTAGACTAATAATATATATATGCACACATTAACATTCTTCTCCATTGATCATGGCAACAAGTTACTAGGACGGTCTTGTTGAAAGTAATAAGGGGAAAAAAATTACAACTCAAATGGCTTGTGTAAGCTACAATGCAATGTGCCTCATTAGTTGGTAAGCACTTTTCTTAGATCATGTCTGTCTCTTGTCGACAAATATATAAACTTGGAGAGAGGAGGAAAAGAAGCCAGAAAAAAGAACTAATAATTGTCAACAGGACAATAGGCATAGTGTTCTCTACACTGTTGTAAAATGCATCAGACTTTAATCTCCAATAATTCTAAAGAGTTATATTTTAATTCATTGGAAATTCTCAAGATGTAGTTCTAATTGTACTTTCTTTTTTGTGAGGAAATTGTAATTCTTTTCGATGTAATAAATATTGGAAAAGACATTCCCAAACAGAGAAGTCGAGTTACTTTTCTGAACTATAGTCACTACTCACTTGCAGGCCATGTTCCATTCTGGCCAGTAAGAACATGCCAATGCACTATCATCAGGAACACAAGCTTCCATCTGTTTTGAGAAGCTGCATAGATAGCCGTTGTTATGCAATAGATCAAATAATCTCGCCTGGTTACACTGGGCTTGGGAGTTAGCAACAAGCCTTTAATGTTTTATTCAGCCAAACAACTGAGGGGATGAAAGTGAAGGACATTCAGATCAGTTGAGTTGGAGCATTGTATTCCTGGTGCCGCTCAATTCTATTGTGGATGGCTTACATTCATGTGATACTGATTGCTTTATGGTAGACTAGGAAATGAGAAGGAAAATAAAGAAGCAAGGTAAATGGGAAGTAGAGAATTACCATCTAGGAAGAATATATGGACATGTGAGGACAATGGTAGAAAATACTAAAACGATGTCCTAGTTAATTATGAGCAGCAATTCGATACCTGGAACACCTAAAATGTCATGTTAATAGGACATCATAAA